CCCCAAAACCCCAAAACCCCAAAACCCCAAAACCCCATTGCTTAGAATTGTATGCTTTCTGTCAATGAGTAAATTTGTTAAATATTATTTCATTACCAATATGCAAGCATTCTTAAAACAGAGAAAAGTTGAAACAGAGTAGCCAAAAGAAATAGGCTAATATGTGCCAAAAGATGCTAGAAAGGAGGTTGTTCAGGAATTGAAACGTTCTCATTTCGTTCTTGGTTCAGATAGTTGTAAATAACTCACATATTTCATTATAGAAATACTAATAACCATTTTTAGCTGATTTTAGGACAAAGAATCAAGTTGCGTAATAAGATTAGAACTGGAAAATTGATCTTGAGGAGAAGTAAATCTATAATAGGTTCAGCCAGTAGATTAAATAGTCACATGTGCAAATAGGTATGAATAACAAAACTTCATTTTAAACCACTCATGAGTAAAACTACGACAAGAAGACAATTGACTAAAATGGAATTATCGCTGCTTAAGAAGCCAAGAAAGACTTGAGAAAGTCTCATTTTAATTTTGGCAGTTTATCAGTTGGAGCTGACAGTTTCGTCACTACTAATCAAGAAAGATTTAAGAGCAATCCTAACTTAAATCCAGCTGATTTACGACCATAAATTAAGGGTTAAGATTCAAGAGAGAACAAAATTGTTACTGGCAAAGAAAAGCCTAACTACCAAACTTCTATGAAAGACTCACTGGCTTCACATGATTTGGCAGAATCATATAAAAATATGTAATAACAACAAGAATAGGGAAGAAATGTAAGATAGCATCACTTTTAGTTTGGCTATAATGGCGAGCAAAGTGTAATGAGTGAATATCAAAATTTCTAAAATGATAGGTCAAAGAGTGTTGCTCTATCTGGACCAATTATAAGATCTGCCAATGATATTAAGAAAACGACTATAGAACTAGGAAATAAATGGCATTAGAATGATTACACTTCAATGATGAAGATGAATCATTAAGTTAACAGTTTGACAAATAGAGAGCCTTCTAATGGGCTAAGTGCTACTGAACTTGCTAATGTCGCTAAATTGGATCTTAGAAAAAGTCATTTTATGGTTGGAAGTGCTCCAACTATCAACGAAAGTTCAGCTAAAAGTGCATTTAAATCTCATGATATCACAAATGATTTAAAGAATGAGAAGCTTGCAATATAATCTAGAATGTAGAAGGGGAATTTCAAAATAGGTGATGAAAAAGCCTAAGCTACTTAATTTGATACTTCATATAAGGCGGGTCTTGCATCAGCTGATAGAATTCATAATGAAATATAGAATAAATCCGAGGAGAAAAAGCCAGTTTATCCTTCAATCAATCTCGGCTTCGGCCAAAATGACTACATTTCTGAAGCGAAATCAAAGTAAATTTATCATCAAGTTTATTTCTAATAGATTCCAAGCAGTTTAAGGAGATAAAGAAATGGCAACTAAGAGTATCATTGAAAAGAATAGAAATCCTCACTTTAAGTTTGGAGATGGATTAAGCCACGACATGACTTCAGTCTCAAAGCAGTAATTTGACTACAAGGGTAATGCATCTGAAATCAGAGGTTTCCTAGATGAATCTAGAAAATAAGATTTAAAGCAGCATCATTTTGCTATGGGTTCTCACACTACTGAATATTAAACTTCAAATCAAAAGCAACTTAATACTGATTAAACCAATAATTAACTCTCAGCAGGTGCCAAATTTGAGACAAAGAGTCTTTTGAAAAATAGTGGACAAAGAATATTTGGAGGAAACATGCCTCAAGGTATTCAAGTAGGAGCAGGGGCAGATTACAAGACTACTAACCAGAGCTATATCAAGTGGATCCAACCAGCACCGACACAGATACAAATGAATATGGGTGGACCCTCAAAGCAATGATTCTTCTCATTTATTATGATTCTTTCCTCGATTATTAACTTTAATTTTTAGCTTAAAGATAATTTACTTACTTACTCCAATTAAATTTTAATATTTTGATACGTTAAAGTATAAATTATCTGAATAATAAAATGTCAATGGCCAATGTGTTAAGTCATAAAATGCAGCAACTATTAAAGTAGTTACTCCTTACGATTCTTAAGGAGGAGCGAAGGATAGAATCTTAAAGGCAGAAAATTGCTACACTAGATGAGTTTGATCCCTACCTAGCCTTTCAATCTATATGCAACCAGCGATCCTAATAGATCAGCTCTGTAGAAATTCACAAATTCCTCAGGTAAAAATATAAATTAAAAATGTGATTTAGAGATCAGAGTGTAGACGAAGCAACTGAAGCAGATTGCTTAATGATAATCTAGTACTTTGACTCTAATCAGGATGGGTATTTAGATGCTTAGGATTTTATTCAAATGATGTTGCCTTGTGATAATATGAAAATGAGGAAACTTATTGAAAGCAAACCTCTATATTTAGTCTTAAGAGAACAGAGGATGACTTAGAAATCTTAAGTAGAGCTAACTAAACTTTTAGAATGGTATTCATGAATTCTTGCTAAAATATCTATATAGTGAAATATAGTACAATAGAAGGACTGAAAAAATAAAGCAGTAAATTGAGTCGTCCAAGGAATTCGATTTTGAGAAAGCGTTTAATTCTATTGATGACTGGAAATACGGATATATAGACAGAAGAAATCTAAACTTGTTCTTGAGGAAGCATGGCTTCATGTCCACAGTCTCGGATGTATTGACTATTATTAGAAGAATGGATCTCGATGCAGATGCAAGATTGACAAAACAAGAATTCTATGAGGGTATAAGACCTTGTGAACCTTATAGTAAGATCATTAAAAGAAGGGAATCCTCTTAAGTTAGTCTTCATAAAAGACAAAAGACTCCTACATTTTATGTTAGTAAATCAGGGCTAATTCCACCAAGAGATATCCATTTCTCTGATAAATAAGTAGATATAATAAGAACTCAAGCATTGGATAGGAGTAATTCTAGAGAAAGATCTTCAAAAAGTCCCCTTAAAAAGAGACCAATGATCAGGGATGAAATGGAAGATAGAGTGCCTTCTCCTTTTAGAAAACAAAACACATCTTTTATTTAGTGCGCTAGATTTTAAAATAAAAACAATAAAGCAGTATCTAAACCAAAATCATCTTATGCAAAGCATAAAACTAGTAAATCAAGTGTGAATGTATCCATCCTTACAACTACTAAGAGAGATCAGGAAATATAAGTTACTCCTCCTAAGTAAATGGTGGAGAGAGACTTATAGACAGAGCTAGAAAAAATAACTCTACAAGATGACCCAGAGAAACTTTAAGCAAGCCATAATAAGCATACTCAAGTCGAGAACCCTGAATATGATAATAGAGACTTAATAGTAAAACAAGTAAATGCCTAGCACAGCAATAGGAAATCCAGTCCCTTAAGAATTAAAAATCTAAAGAAATCCTTTGACGAAACATCATCATCTCTTAATAGAGATAGCTCCCCTAACTATTCATACAGGTATCAAGAAGAGGGTTATAACTCAGTAAGAAGAGCAGAGATAAACCAAAGCTATATTGAACAGAGACAAAAAGAAGAAAATGAAGTAAAGGGTATATTCTTAAAAGCATTTTTGGGACTTATAAATATGGACCATTAGGTAGAACAAATTAAGATAAACCTGAGTTTAAAGCACGATTTCAATCTTATTGACTCTTTTGGACTATTAGATAAAAATGGAAAAGGCTTTGTTACACCTCTAGAATTAAGAGATCAACTAGAGGCTATTACTAATAAGAAGTATACACTAGATGAGATAGATCTGTTCTTTGAGCGATACAACAAATAGCATGATGCGAAATTTAGATACACTGACTTTACATCTGCTGTGATGCCTCTAGATGATCACTATGCAAGACTCTAAGGAATGAAGAGAATGTATTACCTTAACTATACAATATTTAACAAAGACACACTAGAGATGTATAATCATATATGGAATCTTTTGATAGTTCATGAACTTGAAGCTGAAAAAATTAGACACTCTATTTACCAAAGGTTTAGATTCTAAATGAGATAGATATTCTAGTTGTTAGATATAGAACGAGATGGATATTTAACATATGTCGAGGTAAGTTTAATTTTAAGTAATTCAGTCCTAATTTATAGATGAGGTAAATATTTAGAGAGCAAGGTCAAAATCTATCAACAACAGACCATGATTATCTTTTGAGCAGATTTGATTTAAACAAAGATGGAAAAATATCATTTGAAGAGGTAAGCATGAAATTAATAGCATTTTAGCATTTATTACTTATTCTAATATCTAATTCACATTTAGTTCGATTACTAATTCTAGCCAAGAATGAGATCACTTGAAGTCCTGCAATGATGGGTCGAAATCAAAATTTTGCAATTGTAGATGCTCACCAGCTTGTTGCATAAAATAATCCTATTCCAATTCTTATTAGCCTATGTCCTCATATTCATTTGCGACTATTACTTAACCTTAATTTTTTAACCTCTCCCCAATTCCTAGTAATAAGTGTTGATATATAGAGCAGAGCACATTTCCAGTTTGAAATTTTTCTATAGCTGGATTATACTCTGATATCGTAAATATTCTTAAATTTTCTTATTTTCCGATATTAAAGGCAATATCTTCAATTTCCTGGGTATTAAATCCAAAAGCTGGGCAAGGCTCGCTAACTCCAGGCGCATTTTGTGCTTTAATAGAAGTAAGATCAATGTTTACTATCAATTCAATCTATTAACTCTCCTTCAAAATTCTATTCTCCATCAAAATGTTAGATGCTTTACACTAATTTTATTCCTAATTTTAAATATCAAACATTGTCTTCCTAATATCTCTATCAAAGTAAATGTACTAGAACTTGCCTCCTAACTTAGTTTAAATCTAGTCTAAATGATCTTAATCAATTTTAAAGCCTTATATACCATAGAACAATACTTCTCCAAGTTTTTCTAAAATTATTTCGTTTCCCAAAGTCATTTTGAAATGAGACTAATGATGTTCAAGGAATTATGGCTCAAGATCATCAAACTATTTCCTATACTTATCCTCAAAGTCTAGTGATGGATCAATTCTGATCAGATTTAGCTTTTCACTGTAAGCGCTCTATCCACAAAGAGCTGGATAATTAAGGTCATCTGTACCTCCAATAACCACTATAATAGAATCTTTAGATAGTTCTCTAATTTGCTTGATAAATGATTCTAATTTCTAATGAGTTGCCTCTATATCAGAAATAACTGGCTTTATATTTCCACAATCCTTTATAGCTAATTTCAATGAACTCAAGTCAACATCATAAAAGCTATTACTCGAAGGAAACTGTAATTACTCTATCAAAGCTCTAAAATTGTTAGGCCCAAGTTCTTAACCTGTTCTTGATTCACAATTTTGCGCTCCTATATCTGATTCAAAGCCAATCAAAAATAGATGTTAATATCCCTCGTAACCTTCTAAGAATTCCTATATTTCTTGAGATGAATTGAGAGAGTTATTGTTTATACATTTCGTATCAATGTTTAATCTATCCTATTTATTCATTTTCTAGTTAAGTATCGATTGAAGTCAAGTAAAATATTATGATTAGATTCCTACTTGATGTTTTCCTTTATTTTTAATAAATTAATTGTAATTGAGTAAATTAATATAATTAATTTTTATTAATTGGCTGCTTTGACAATGTAGCATTCATCATAATCCCCTATCAATAATTCTCCTGCTAAGTCACTTTACTCTTTCCCTAAGAGTTCAAGATTCCCTAAACCACACAATCCTTAGTATGATTAGAAATATTAATAATAATTTTAAATTTAGTTGCGATTCTTCTTATGATATACCACCTTCTTTTTCAAAATGAGCCACAAGCATCGGTTATGGAAGGAGATTTGGAGATATGATACTAAAGAGTGTTGCACCAAGTCCTTAGAAGTATTAGATTCCAGGCACTAAAGATAATAAATCTTATTCATTTGGTATGAGCAGAGATAAATTCGATAGAGTATGTTTACATTATTTTACTTTACTACCATCTAGGTATATTTAAAAGAAAATCCACCCAGAGATAAGTCAGTTCCAGGACCTGCAGCATATGAACCCAAAACACAGTATGTGGAGAGAGCTGCAGCAGCATTTAGCATGAGGCCTATGACAACTTATGCTTCAATATTCAATGATCCCACCAGGCCTTTTCCAGGTCCAGGTACATATGATTCATAAAATGAAGTCAAGAATGGATTTTGCCTCAACTCAAGGTATAAATCTCCAGGCAGTGCTGTAATTTCGAAAACTGGAAAGAGATTTGAGATGAAAGACATGAGAAGATCGATGGATATTCCAGGGCCAGGCACATATGATGGAAATACTACTTATTATAAGGTGAAGAAAAATTATGGTTAAACAGTATTTGGCAAACAGAGAAGACTAGAAGAGCTTCAAGAAATAAAAAAGAGTAAATATTCAGTTGATAATTTATCTGTATAGATTTCCCAGGGCCAGGCACTTACAGAGTGCAGAGTGAGTTTGGGTTTTATGACCCAGCAGACACAATAAACACTTCAAATAGCTTCATGGGAAGAAGATCTTAAATGCAAACTGAAAAATAAGATTGAGATCAGTTTGCAGTGTAGATATAAGTAGCATCTACCTTAATCTATATTGATAAAGATAACTATTAGTAAAATTTGTTGAGAAGTTAAATAGACATCGCCACAGAGATTGAATGTTGGAGGAGTTAAATACTTAAATTTATCCAATAGAACCCTCTCAAACTTATCAACAGCTATTTATTTTAAATTATTAACAAATATATTCGAAGATTGTTACAGATTTAATAGCGAATGGGGTTTTGGGGTTTTGGGGTTTTGGGG